TCTATTTTCACTCCACTATATTCCCGTTTGCTTTGCATTGCCTTTGTTTCTTTACATTACCTCGCTTTGGTTTACTTCGTTTCGTACTATCGCGCTTTGCTTTCCTTATTTTTCTTGGTCCAGTTTCCACTCCGATTTTAACTTCACCTCTTCTTGGAACGTCGCGCGTCCTTCCATTCCTTGCTCAACTTGCTTCGTTGAGCCTCGCGCCATTCTACTTCCCCTTATTTCGCTTTGCTCCGTCTCGCGTGAACCCGGGGCTTTGGAGAAATCCGAGCCGGATTGACGGCGCTATGTAATTTACTCGCCGTGCAAGAACGAAACGGGGCGCAGGCCGCCCTTCTGATTTTACGCAATGCATTTTAATCACGGATTTAACGTTGCGGCACCGGCGGCTCGTTCTAAGATCAACCTTGAAAATCGACTCGACGCGAAGTCGCGCGACGAGAAGAGCCAGAACCCGAGACACAATGGTATTCGCCCTGCTCTCCATGGTCCTATATCCACATTGTCTTTCTCTCATTTTCAACGTTCTTCGCGATATTTTCCACGACTCATTTCGATCTTTTATATCTCTCTGGCCACCGTCTGGGTCTCCGCGTTTTCCTCATTTCCCATGTCCTTCCGCGCGCGACGTATTTTCTTTAAAGCGTTGAGGACTCCTCCGAGGGGACTTTGCCGTTTTGTGCCAATATCTCGCCAACAGCTCGAGATTTTACTAATTCCCAACACTTTCTTCGCTGTAAACGCGACGCTTCCGTCGAACAAGCGGTACGATTTTCACCCTCCGTGTAATTCGAGACTTGGCGGGGATGGAGGCCCCTACCCGCCTTCCTTCTTGCGCCAACCCGTTTTCACCATCTTGCCCCCCTTTATCCCGGCCCGACTCCCCCGCGATCACCATTCGCGCCTCATAATTAAAGTCTGGAGACACCGAGTATTTTCTATTAACATTCCTGGCTAACCCAGCGTGTTCAAAATGACCGCAGCTATTGCGGAATGTTGCGCAGCCGACCAGCTGCATTCGAGATGCACTTATGCGCAACTGGAATGCAGCTGCTTTTGCCGCCATTCGGACTATGCTGTAGCATTTTGTCCTGCCTGCAGAAATTTGTTGTGTTTCAGTTTATATTTAATATTGCACGCGATTATATCGTGTGTACGGAATTTTCGCGCGGAGCATTTCAGGAAACACACGCCGATGTTCCTCAGAAATTATTTACGTTGTATCTGCGCATTGCACATTTTGCCTGTGTCATCCTTTCATTAACACAAAATAATTCATGTTCAATCTCACATTACATAAAACGAGCTGAAACGCATGTAATCGGGATACATGCACAAACATATACGCGACGTACATGTAATGCCACATTTTAAGAAATAACAATAATGATTAAACATTCATAATATTCTTTTTAAAACTTTAAAAAAAATATTGCGCTGTTTTATTCATTTATTTACAGAGCAACTATTGAAATACATTTAACAATTTTTAGCATACAAATTTATGTAAAGCAGTCATATAAAAATCAATTGTATATAGCGAAATTGAGAATTCATGATCTCTATGTTCGCAGCGTTCTGATAAAATTCTATACGCGTGATTAACCAATCGCGTTGGAATACGCTTTGAAACCACCTATTGATATTCGACAGACGTACCTGTGGAACTGCGTTAGCGTTCTGAATACTGAGTTTATATTTTATTTAAAAAAAAGAACCGTATTAACTACACAATAAAACAACCCGTTAATAAACGATCACTGCGAGTGCAGTCGAGATATTTTTATGCTTGCAAATTATCGCCAATTACTTACAATTAAATAGTAATTGTGCAGCTGATAATGATCGAACTTGTGATCCAAAAGCTTAGAGAACTTAATATAAAAAATATAATTATATTGGAGAAAAGAATTAATTTACCCATATCAGCATTTCGATTGTACGTAACCATTTACATTAATTGAAAAATTATTCATTGAATTTGCTTTCCTATTTTTCACCGTCTTTTTCAATTGCAGTATTTTTCCATGTGTTAACCCTTTGGAAAGGAAAAAAAAGGAAAAACGAGAGAGATTCGAAATTGTATAGAAAATAGAGTTTAATTAAACACTATTATTTTATTTTAACGCAAAATTGATAAGTATATAATTAGAATTCTAGTTAACTCTGAAATGCATTGTACAATAAATCGTGCCCAGTTGGCTTTTACTTACAACATTTCGTATTTTCTTTAAATAGATTTTGTTTTATACATTTATGCACGCACACACACACGCACACACACGCGCGCGCGCTTCCATATAGATTTATTTAAATACATATACACGTACAAAATAATGTGTGAACCATAAAGCCCTGGAAATATTTTTAATCTCATTTGAAATAAATTTTAATTTAAAATTTTTAATCAAATGATTTAAATTTTTTCTTAACAAAATTGTATAGATTTCATAAAAAAAAGTTTAATCAAATAATTTGAATTTTTTTTAACGAAATAATCAAAACTTAATTAAAATTTGATACATTTTCTTTGACGCTTAATCTAATTTTATATATTTTATTTTGTATCAATAGGATTTTCACGTAAGATTTAATTTTATCGATATATTTAGTGTTGAAAATTTAATAATACGAAAGTATAGGTAATTAATTGCAGTTCATGGTAATTGAAATTCGCTCTAAGAAATTAGCATCGAGTTCGGCAAGTTTAAATTACATTTAGTAAATAGTATTTTTAAAAATGTTACGTTAAATATATCTTTTAAAGAGCCGCTGTAAAAGCGCAAATAGGAATATTTTAGTGTCCTCGACTTTTTCTCGAAAAAAACAGCCATTATTGATCTTGCCGAAAATTTACTTTTGCGTGAAACATGGCTTTTGGCTAACATTGATTTCGCGATTGATTGTTGTTTTTCGGTTCCTGAAAAATTTTTGTATGTAGACGTTGGCAAGCGGTTGTTTTAGCGGGGAAATATGCAATGTTCGCGAGACTTCATGTAAACAATCGTGATTGTTTAACCAAAAAGCCACTTATCCTCGTTTCGTAAACATACTTCTAATAAACCGCGTGAAATATTGCCTCCACTTTGACGCAAGCGATCGCGCAAGGCGAGTCCGAAATAGTTCGATATAGACCGAAATATTCTCATGACTCTGAATAATACATTCCGCTTGTAATCTCGAAACGGTTATTTGAAACAGATTTTTCGAGACATGTAGAACGTTTAAAAAATATAACTGTAATATAAAACATAAAAATATTTATTAGATTTATTAGATTAAGAAAAGATTAATTGTGAAATGATTTGTCTAATAAACAAATCAATCTAAATTAGTTTCGCCAAACTTTATCATCTTACATTAACAATTTACGTTCCGCTGATCTTGAAACTGATGACTAATTAAAAAATTCTTACCGATTTCTTGCCGTGAGAAAAGTGTGCTTTTTCTCTTTGGTGCTCGTTAAAGTTGACGGAATCGATAAGAAATCGTTATGAACGGTGATGACAGTAATAATTTTCTGCGAAAACAAAGTTATCGGGATTATTATTCAAACGATTTTCCCCGGGTATCCAATTTTTCCCAGATAAACCACGGAAAGTTGATGCGATCGTAATGCCATATTAATTAATAATTCGGCGGAAAGGGAGCACGTCCGTGGCGTGAGGAGAGGTTCGGCTTTGATTAGTATACGGGACGCGTGCTAATTTAAATATCATTTGCACGGAGCTCAAGTGCCAGCAGTCATTAGCGTGGAAAGAATTTAATTACGATTGTTCGTAATCAGTACACGCCGCGGCGCTGATTTCAAGTTAATCCCCGCGCACGCTCTCGGGGCTCGTCCGAGTGGATGAACGGGTCCTTATTCGGGAGCGACGGCACGTCCCGATAAGCAGAAATTGATAACGAATTTTCCGGCAGCGAGTTTTAGTGCAGCGAGCATGCCCGTCGTCTAGTCTGCGAGAGCGAACGACAAGGGTAATGCGGGAGTTTAGTGCCAAGTTTTGCGAGTCGCGCCGGAGCTCATCCGAGCCGGAGATTTTGCGAGTGAGGCGCGTAAGCTCTCGCGAGCAATCGCGTAGACTGATATTCGCAGCTGCTGCGACGCGAAAGAGAATTAAGTTGTGAAGTTCACCCAGCAGTAATCTAACTCGTTGCTTTGGAACAAACGACAATACGACGGGGTGTACATTCGGGGATATAACGTGGCACGTGGTAATAAATGACGATTAAAGCTCGCTAATCCATAAATCGCGTTCAGATTTGCCGCGTTTGAAATTTGTCAATCGGCGAAACAGGCACTTGGATTTTTCCAACTGTTCTCTCGCCCCCTTGCTCCACGTTTCTTCGCCAGCTCCCTTCGACAGTTTTACACATACAATCGCAATATTTAGCATGGCTAAATATCGCAAATATTTAAGTGCTCTTTTTGCATTTCACTCGGATATTTATTTTATTAGTGTCCAGTGTTTGAAATATTTATATTTGTGGATATTTGAATATTTATGTTATTACTATGTAAAACTATGTCGCTCGAAACAAGTGACAATACCAGGCGGTATATATTCGAGGATGCAGCATGGGGTATGTAATAAATTACACGATAAAAATTCCATGAATCCGTAAATGCGTTCGGATTTTATGCGTTTACATTTAAATTGCTCCTGGGTTAACAAACAATAATTCAATATTTTTCTTTATATTTTAAATCTTAGGGTAGTTAGACACTCGCAAAGAGTGTTGAGATTCTTTACGTAATATATAAAATATCCACGTATAAGAAATGTGTAATCGACTAAGTAATAAGTTTTTACTCGCGCGTAATAAACTGCTAGACTTTTCTGAATATGAATGTTTCGTCTGAAACATTTGCGTAGTAACATTTTTTCCTATACCGATACATTGACAATAAGGTTTTCTATTATGTAGAAAATTGTATATCTATCGGTACATGCTCTTAAATGTAAATACAATCAAAGATTATTATTACTCACCGAAATTTCTGTAGGGAGAACAATTCTGTCAGATATCAAAATAGATCCATCTACCCTCTGTCCTCTTGAGTCGCTCGAATTGAATTGACCAATTCCTCAAAAATTTCGGGCTGCAGATCGATCAACTTCAAGGCCTTATTGGTCTTCGATAATTCCACTTATGTCGTTCTTACTGTATTCAGGACTATTCAAACAGAACTCTTCGAAGTCATGACGGGGCAGGATAAACCAGAAGCCCTTTAAACGTCAAGCTCTTTCGCCAAGGTCCTCGAACCGCGGAGTGAAAATAGCCCCCGGTAAAGATTCAGAGTTCTAGAGAAACACACTCGTCAGCTGATCAATTCGCGATGAAGATCCTCATAGAGTTCTCGATAATAAAGTGATAGATCGTAAAACGCGCGAGACACCAAATAAATTAATTGTTTTTTTATCTCACTTTTAATAAATGTTGCTCCGGACAGTCTTTCTTCAGATCTTACAAAAATATCGATGAATTAAGAAAGTTCTCTCTTTGACGTTGCAAAACGCGACGCACACTTTCCGAGTAGATCGAAAGTTTCGAGACTCCCCGGCCACGTGACCAAAAATGTACGCGGCGCAAAAAGTTATGCCGTAACCTTGGAACACGATCCTCAAAAGCTGCAACTGAAATTGCGTTAGGTTTCTTTTGTAGAAATTTTCGCAGATTGCTACAGAATTCCTGATCCACTCTGCGCGATGTCTAGAGATTCTTGAAAACTTGTCGGAGTTTTCAGTAGCCCTCTTGATAATGTCCCAAACACTTTCCAACTGCTCCACACGTCTCAAAATTTCCAGATCTACTCCCTTAAAAACTTACGGCTTTGGAGCTTTTTACAAACTAATTCGCCATCTCGTAAACTTATCTAAAAATCTGCAAGCTTTCTTATGTCTCCTTAAACTTTCGCGAGATATCTCGGACGCTCCGAGTTACTCTTCCGGAGTGTTAGCAAAGTCCCGACTTATCTCGCAAACTTCTCCAAGGACTCTCGAGGATCCTAGGAGAATTCTGAGAATTCTCAGGTCACCCCGGAACACCCGAGGATTCCCTCAAACTTCCCCCAAACCAGTCGATCGCCGAGAAGCTGAAGGGAAGGATGTTGATCAGTCACGTGGCTCCGATCTATCGATCGCGATCGAGGCGTTCCGATTGTCGGTGTCCCTCGTCGGGACGTCGTCGTCCGTCGGCGTTCGATCGCGTTGACACGAAGCGGACAGGTGCGCGATCTCAGTACTGTGTGGAGGCGAGGACGTCGCGACCCTAGGCAGACGCAAACTGACGGCGCGGCGCTCGGCACCCGTTGCCGCGACGCCGCGCGTCGCGACGTCGGGCGTCCCGTCCGCCCGCGGCGACCTCTCGCACGCGCGAACCCGCCGCGCATATTCCGGAGCGGAGCGGAGCGGCGCGGCGCGGCGCGGCGCGGTGCGATGCGCCGCGACGCATGCTGCGCGAGCAGTCGTGCGGAAGATGAGACGACGCGGAAGAAGCTGCGAAGGATGCACGCAACAGTTGTTCGAGCATCCTTAAATTCGAGGGTGCTCGTATTTGGCGCATACTCCGGCGCGAAGATGCTCGAATTTCACGAACGAACTTTAAATTCCTCGTTGCCGGCGGGATTCTCTTGCGCGGCGCGTTTATGTCTGACGTTTTCCGCTTGATACTCAACGGAATTCTTTTTTTACGTCCGCGGCATAAAAAAAGCAATAATAGCTGACAGTAAAACGAATAAATGTAAAGTGACATAAAGAGTAATGTGATCAAAATCACTCATTTCTCTTATAAATTTTCAGAATTCGTTTGACTTCGCGTAGACTTCGATAGTATCGGAAACTAGACGAAATTGATGCTATTTATTGACACTCAATGCCTTCTTTAATTGCCGTTACAACTTGAAAACTATAAGTAGAGGAAAGTCTATCCTCTATCATAGGTTTCTAATATGAGGTAGCAGATTTTCAACATCCAAATTTAATCACGAATCTTTATTCACAACGATTAAGCGATCTAACAATCAATTTTCCACACGGGGAAAAATGCTGTTGAATTAAAAATAATGAGGTTGCTTGAATTCAACGTTAACGTCACGGTCTGCCACAACCATAAATAATTCGGACGGGAAACTTATGGTCAACCCAACTGGCTAATTATTTAATCGATTTATTACACAACGTTTCGACCCTACTCTTTTGGGTCCTTTTCGAGTGATACTGCAAATCAACAACAACAACAACGCAGTTATGAACAATGTAGGTTAATACATAAAAAGGATTTAGTTAAATATAAATAATTCGCTCTATTGTATTTGCTATGGATTTTAATTTTAAGCATTAAACTAAAATAGTCACATTATTAAGACAACTGTCTGATGTTTTTCGTTCATTAATATTGACGTTGCTTCAACGATTTTATTTCAATCACACTGATCTTGTTGATACAACATTTCACTCCAACGGTACATTCACAATGAAACCAATAGATGATGCCTATTAATTTAGCAAAAACCCTGCCATCTCGTATTAGAAGCTTATCTCATAACTCTTTCTGCGTTTCAATATTTTCAGAAAAAAATTTAATTAAAAATTGAATCTCGCTAAAATTGAAATTGTTGCGGACATTTTTACATGTCTTTTTCCGCCGGAAAGGAACAAATAGGTAGCTTTTGGAGTATTGGTAAACAATGAAAATAAAATTAAGTAAATGGTCTGTACACGAAGAAGACGTAACTTTATTGGGTTTTCCAATAACACCAGCCCGTTTTTACAGATAAAAGTCACATCGATATAACGTACAAACGTTAATCGACACGTATATATCTTGATGCGTGACAATACTGTTGTATGAAGATGCGGACACTCGGGTTCGAAAACACCAAGCTTATATAGATTCGATCTTAGGGTTAATGCCCTTAAAATTCAAACCGTTTCAACTCAAAGATCCATAAGCTCCAGAAGTATGTCCACATTTAAACGTTCCCAAATTAAAATTTCTGCAAATTTAAGCGCTCGAGATCTCGAAATCTAAACCGTCGTTCTAGACGTTACAGTAGGCTAAACTTAAATATTATTCGACTGCGAGTCCGCGCAAATTGGAAAAACTCTTGCGCGGAGCACCCGCAAATATTGTAAGATTAACCTGCCTGTAATTCGAAATATCGTTACTATTTGATTTTGAGCCAATTTACTAAGTGCTACACACGCTGTGCGCCACGCTAATCACATAACGCTAAATTGCAACAACAATCTGCTAATACATCTGCGCACGCGATCGTCTCGCGGAGCCGATCCTGACACGCGTATCGCGTCTCGTGACTCGCGGATCACGGCAGGCGATCCGGCAAAGTTTCGTGTCCGGCCTGACAGTGCGGCTTTGAACATGCGCGCGCGTTTGCGTACACGTGTGTGCGTGTGTATGTGTGCATATGTGTGTGTGTGTGCGCGCGTGCGTATGCATGTACGGCACAGTAGTTTCACGTGCAGCGGCGGGACGTCGACGTGAAACGAAACGCCGTGAGGCATGAGAACGGAATTCCCAACGGGAACATAAAGCCGCGGACGCCCCTTTTCCGGCGGCGTCTCGACGCCTGCCGACGCTCGCGTATACGTGCCACGTCACGTGGCCGACGCGCGAGATCCGGTCGACAACGCGCCGGGTGACGCGACTCATCGCGACGCATCGCGAAGCGCGGCGCGAGACGAGAGAGTCCTGAGAAAATACGGCGAAACGGCGCTTGACCGCGTCCGGCCGCAAGCGTGGCTCTGAAGAGGGTTTGAGGTGAGCTTTTAAATGGACTTAACAATTTTTTAATGGAAACGAGAGAGAACAGAGAGAGACGAAGGGAGGCATAGAGAGAGAGAGGGACAGGTGGATAACCGGTGTACGAGAATAGAACGCTCTCGCGGATTTTGAAAGGATAATTGTGTATGCACGCGAGGCGAGAAGCAAAGGAGGTAGTTTGACAGGTGATTATTTCCCGTATCACAAAAGCGATAACAAATCTTTCATTTTAATTTCCCGGGTAGCGGATTGATACAAAAGATTTGTTTTTGTTTCGCCCAAGTTTATTTGCCTTCCTCCCCGTTGCTTTACCTCGCATTGTTTGTGCACAAACGCTGTGGAACCACCCCCGAATGATTATAACGTGCGATATCATACTCGTTATCATAGACTTACAGCTTGCGACTCATTCAAAAGCGTCGCAAACGTTCCGCGCAATTGCGTGCGATTTTCTTTAACTCTGACTTTTAAGTTCCTGGAATGTCCACCTGACAACTGTGTTTAATTAAGGGGTTCGGGCGTAAAATCAGGTAACTGACATTTGCATAAATGTCTGTTACTCGAGTTTACCGGGTTTTACCTCAGAACCCCTCAATTAGTTACTCACTAATGGCTCCCGTCATCTTCGAAATAGTTCCCCATGTAGCAATACACTTAATGAGTTGGTGTTTTCTCCCGAAACAAGTTCGCAGCTATATTTTTTCAGGCTCGTTAACACGAACGTCATATTTCTCAAAATGTAATTTAACAAGCACCTGAGAATACACGCACCTTTCAAAGGAGATTTCAAGTTTCGGCGTCAATCAAACGTAATGGAAAATTACGTCGGATGAAAGGTAACGTTTTTTTCCCCCCTCCGAGGATCCTTTGGCACAGATTTCTCTCAGTTGGGTCCGTATCCGGAGATAACAGGTCGCAATTTCGGAATTTTCACAAATCTGTACGCGAATTCCCCTCGGACTCAGCCGTGGGTATCGATTTTACGATCGCGACATTCGACAGCGGAAGAAAACAAAGAAAGTAACGAGGGTGACTTGGGAGAAGGCAGGGTGGCCGAGGGGGCGGATGTACGTGTGTGTGTACGTACGCGCGGATGAGGGGGATAAAGAAATTGGTGTACAAGGGAACGGCCGTCGAAGTAAGGTGCCTCCGCAAGCGTAGCCCGTAACTTTGGCCTATCAGGAACATCTGCGAGGAAACTGTGCGCGGAACGAGCCAAAGTTACCTGCAATTGACAAATTTCCGATGGCTACTTCGTGGCTGTCGCCTTCGCGGCAATTAGTCGCGATGGACTTTGGAAACACTCGGCGCGTGACGTCGATCATGACTAATTGCCAGAAACAGGGCGATGCGCCTGATAAGGCACTTTCGTCTCGTCACCCTTCGATCTCCGCGCTCTTTTTCCTCGCTTTCGTCCTGCAAACTCGTTTGAATCGATGAGACCGCAAGCCTCGCAGATTATTTTAACCACGGTCAGAATCGTCGGCTGTGCAAACTGAATCCATTTCGACAAGACCTTTTACGATCGGTTATTTGAACTTGTGATTTTGCCCTCTTTCAACATCGTCCGTCTCTATTAGCGACAATGACATGATAAAGGCGTTATTGAGATCTACGCGTTAATTAATAGAAAGAAAATATTGAAAAGCGCGTTTTAACTGCCGGTCGTTTCTTCATTAATACCGTAAGGTGCGTCACATTAATATCGATCAGTTTTCTCAAAAGAGACTACGTCACATCAATATCAATTAACGCGGTAAGTAATAGAAGATCGCGTGCTGCGCCAGTCATTTGCTCGTCCTGCCGATATCCTCGCCCTGGTTAGCCTCCTGCTGCGATCATCAAGTCCTATTGGTCGTAAAGCGAATGATCGATAACGTCCGCGCCACGCACAAGATAGGCATATCAGTATGAATCGATAGCCAATAAAAAGGGTAGTTTTAATCAAGCGACAAAATTGCGATGGCATCTTCGACTTGAGGACGTATATTCCATAAACGTTCACACAAGCCACCCCTCCGGTCATAAAAAGGGCGTAAAGAGAAGTTTCCTTTCAGTTACACACGTTCTTAAATTTATATGACATCGACTTTAGACTCGTCCTAAAGGCATTCTAAACTGATCCTTTTAACGCGTTATATTTTAACGACCAATTCTTTTGGGGAGGGAAACAGAGATCTTCTCCTCCGCAAGGACATCATTTTTCCATGAAAGACGGATGGCAAAACCACGTTCCTCGATTAATTTCATATACGGGCACCAGCAAAAATTTTTATTCGAGGCTCCGTGTTGTAGGGGCATGTAATATCGAAAATTGAGAAGTTTAGCCGAGGAAAAATTGACTCCATAGATAAAAATCTCACGCGAAACTTGTGCCATTTGTTTCTTTTTCCAAAGCTGAGAGCCTCTCTCTCTCTCTTTCTTTCACATTGGTTTGAAAGAACGAGCGTAAGAGTTGAAAGGAGGGACGTCACGTCTCGTTAAAG